TGGAAGCTGCATCGAAGGAGAGCTCGGGAGAACGAATCCAGTTCATTTGGCCCAACAAAACCGGCCCTCAATTCGAGATGGACGACGACCAGGCAGCTCATATTCGTCCCTATCCCAAGGTCGCAACGGATATTGTAGATGACAAGTTGCAGCTGGCAGAACTGCTGAAAATGCACGCCAGTGAGATTGCTCCTCCAACCATTACATCTCCCGACAGTAGTCAGAAAGGAAAGCTATACTTTGTCAAACATAGGTTTGGAGCTCAAGGGAAAAGTGTCTATGTGTACAATAGGATTCAATTGGAAGAATGGTGGCAAAGATCCAAAAATCCACAGGACTTCGTCATCCAACAAGAAGTGCCTCCTGCATTGGATGAGCAAGGACGCAAGTTCGTCTTGCGAGCTCACATTTTGATGCTACAATCCAGCGATAAACCTGTACGCGCGTTTCTCCACAAGGATATCATCTGCCTGCCCCATGCATCGCCGTATGCCAAAGAAGATTGTAGCCATGCCAACACCCCAAAGTCTGCCTACATAAGTCAGGCTGGCAAAAAGCATCCTCCGCCTTTCTTGCTCCAAGACATCAGTTCGCCCAATCATCCAGCTGCAGGTTTGTGGCCAAACATCCGCAGGTGCACCGAAAAGCTCGTATCAGCAGGTTGCTGCCTAAAAGATAGCCCGTTCCAACAGCCAGTGGCAAAGGCAACAACCTGCTTTGCTTTGCTGGGTGCGGATCTACTCGTGTCGAGCGAGGGACAGGTAATCGTCTGCGAAGTCAACTCTCATCCAGCTTTGGGATGGGGAACAATGTCCCAGGTGCCAGCTGCTGTCTTTCGAGGGTTGATTGAGGATTCTCTTTCCATCATCGTGTTCGACAAGATGAAGGAAGGCAACAAATTTGAATCGTTGAAGATCCACGATCATGCACCGTAAAGCAGGAGATTGTTGTTTGGGTCCACGATGATCGTATCAGCCGTTGCCAAAGTTCAAAGGGAGATTCACTACGCAGCTAAATCAGGTAGATTGGGGGAATCAGAATCGCGTTCCGCTGGCGTTGGCTGCATCTTGCGTAAAAGCAACAGCACCATGTCCATCTTGTCGTCAAGCTCTTTTTTCGTTTTCTGCAGTTCCCCTCGTAATGCGGCCACTTCTTCCGCTTGTTCATCGTTTCTGTCGCCTTCTTCTGCGATTGCCGTGATGGGATGCTGTTCAATGACCTGTTGATCCGTGCGCGCGTGAGACGAAAACCGCGACATGTGAGGGGATGGAATCGGAACAGCAAGATGCTTCAGCTCTTCCAAACTTACGCTAGTAGATCTGCGCAACGATAAGAACCTTCCCCTACTCTCAGAGTGGCTGCTGTTGCTTCTGTCACTGTTGCTTCTGTCACTGTTGCTTCTATCGGAGTACCTCAAGTTGCCTATATCCAACGAGTTTTCTCGTGCGCTCGAACTCATGGCTCTTGCGCTTCTGTACGTATTCAACGGCGGAGAACTTCCAACAGTTGGGCCGTGTTTTCGATACATCACTTTCTCAACACTTGTAACAACATCCATACTCAGCCCGAACACTTTGCGGTAGTATTTGCTTCCCAAGGCAACCAGGATGGCAATAAACGTTGAGAACCAGTGAAGAAAGAAGGTCCCCAGCATTTGTTTGAGTGTTAGACGACTGGGACCGGAACTGCCCCCTCCTCCCGACGCGGCTGCCGCACTGGGACCCCCTTTCAATTTGCGTGCAGATTGTTCCCTTTTCTTCCGAAGACCCGACTTTGCGGCAAGTTGACGACGCCCTGTGTCGGAACTCTCCACGTCGCAATTTTGATCCCGCGTCTTGGAACGGTGTTTTTCCCAAACTTCCTCCAATTTTCCCTCGCTGACTGGAAAGTCAAGACAGAAAAAGAGGGTTGAGTTGTCACTATCAGCAAGAACATGCATTCTTTTTGCACTGTCTTACTTACTGAGTCGTGTCATGTGAATGTTTAAAACTTCTCGGATGAGGGAACTACACTTGTAGCCCGCATCTGCTTTGACGGCAAACCCAGACTTGATAATCTCGACGGTCCGACCAACCCAGTTGAGATCACAGTCCGGATTGTACTTGGTGTTGTGCTCGAATCCCAGCCAATTGTCCCTGTATCCCGCCACCAACCCGCACTCCCCCCTCTTCAAAGCTTGGTATCCCTGCAGTTCTGTATTCATGGGTACTCGAATCGCATTTTCGTATCGCCTCTTGATGATGAAATCGGCGTTGGTGCCCTTGAAGGTACAAATGGGAATGCCTGAATACGGTATCGTCAGCGTTTTACGTACAAGGTAAGGTCGGCAAGAATGGAACAGAATCAATGCGACCATACGAACCAACAAAACATACCGAGAGCAATGGCCTGATCAATCGAGTCCACGACGAGTGCTGGCCTTTGATCCTCGACAAAGAGAGAGGCCAGATTGGCCGTGTAGGTTGCTGTGATGACCAATGCCCAAACCCCCATGGAAACCCCACAAATACGTCCTGCCACATGGCTCGGAGCATACTCAAAGTTTTGTGTAAAGTTGAGGGAACTCAGGTACACATTATCTGAGAACCACTGCCAAAAGGGCCGGTCATCTCGCTCGTCCGTGAGATGTTCAATGAGCTGATACGCCAATGCGGACAGAACGATGGTGAGCAATATCATACACCAAACGGATGTCTCGTAGGGTTTGAGCCAGTTGAGTAGATCAATGCTGTCATCGGCCACGGGTGGATCCTCTTCGTCCACGAGAATGACCGAACCGTCGAACCACGGCTCTACATAAGCCGCTCCAGCTTCCATTCTCTCGACGGACTGATCCCACCAATTCACGGCAATATCGTAGGTCTCAATCCCCCACAGTAACAACTCCGTCCACGTCTTGTTCAAGTCTTCTGGTTGTTCCATCACCCCAAAAGAAGACCTCCACGTAAAGTTGGCACTCTCCCCCAAAGCATCCATCAATTCGGCCATGAGGCCCGGCTCTTCCCGGTTAATACCCGTTTCCTCCGAATAGCTGAAAAAGTCTCCCATGGCCATCAGAGGACGCAATTCCAACCCCGACAAGGCGTCCTTCAATTCCCTCTTGCCGTCGCGCCATTCGAGATAACGGTGGCAGACACTCTGACGATGCGAAATGTTGTACGAAAACAAGTGGTTGTCGAGCACCGCTTTCTCGCCCCCCAGCTCGTCATCGGCTCCCAAACACGGGGGGATGAGCAGTAGCAAAGGTCCAAGGAGGGAGGATACTAATAGACGCAGCGGTCTCATGGTCGGGGTATATTGTTATTAGACCTGTTATTGTTTGGAGGTTTGGAGTGAACTCGATGAACTGATCGGGGTGGCGGCGAAGTGACGAAGAGGTTACTATGGATTAGAGGTTGGTTTGAGTGGTTCTTGGAGCTGCGACCAATGGGGGGAAGGAGCTGGGGAAGGAGGCCAGTGTTGCCGCGAGGAAGCAGGAAGTGGTTGTCTGACACTCAAGCGCTGTAAAACGTGGTCGACGACGGCACTATGCAGGTGGTCAAAGGCCGCAATAATGGCCAGTGGCAGGAGTGTTTTATGTCATAATATTATTATTATGAGGAAGGTGGACAGTCAGAACCAGTTGGTTTGGTCCATCCGCCACTTGGAACTCTACAACTCATCAGAGCTCAGAGTACTCGAGTACAGTACTCTAGCCAGTTACACTCTAGCTGGAGTACATGTACAGTAAGCATTCATTCATTGATGAGAACTGAGCGCTCCATGTTAAATCCTCGTGAAGAATAGTTCTCCTCAATGCTCTTCTTACACTCAAGAGCAGTATTTACTACCTTGATTACAAGATAACTGTGGTTTGGTAGAGTGACAGCCTGGTACGGTATCTTACGTGCAAGTGAGGAATGTACCGTACGACTGTACCGGTACGGGGTTCTAGCTGCGTTTATCCTTCCTTTTAATTAGAAATTGCAGTAGCCCTCTTATTTTAAAATTGTGTCTATATGTTTTTACTTGTCTATGCAAGCCCTATTTTGTGCAAGAGCCAGGCCACCATTGGCCAGCCATGTATCTTCGGTCTGTTGTGTTGTCAACAGACCTTGATATCAACTAAATTGTGGAGGGAGGACAAAGAGCATGCCAGACAGGGTCAGACAGGCTCTCTATCCAGCTCTGCAGACTCCTGTCCTGCACTCTGCCCCCATAAGCGGACTCCTTGGTGCAGTCACACTTATTCACGGTTAGTCACAGTTGAGAGAGCCAGCATGCCGTCCGGTATGGCATGCCGACTTGCTGCATTTTGAGAAAGGCTGCAAGGCTGCATTAATATAGGATGGTCGATGACGAATCCATGTTAATGAGGAAACTGCGAAGGAAAAACCTCACTGTCGGTATGGCTTGACCTGACGGATGTTGATCCGTTCTTCGACATGTGGACTAAGCCTAATGGTAATGGAACCATTAATGTGTACTCTAGTGATAGTGTATGGACCTTCGGCCCTATTTTCAATCTTGTTCGGCTGTGGAACAAGCTTAAGAACTTGGTCGTTGACCTGATAATCGTAATGGATACGACGTTTGTTTTCTTGTAACAAATTGTAATTGATGCGTGCTTCACGACGCTGACGAAGCAACTGAAAGTCTGCTTCTATGGGAATGTTGAGCATCATATCCCTTCCATAAACCATAGCGCCTGGTGACAATCGCATGGTGCTGTGCATTGTAGCCCGAGCAGCATAGGCTGCTGTTTGCAACGCTGTGCTTATCATCATCCTAGCTCCTTGATCGTTTTCAGGTGGATGAGCATATGCCAAGATTCGTAGTGAATTGGCTATAGACTGATGAAGTCGTTCGATTATTGAGTTTCCTTGGGGATTCCTCACTGATATTGGATGCGTTTCAATTTCATGCTTGAGCAACATGTCCTGAAAGGCACAACCTGTGAATTCCTTGCCTTGATCATAGATGCATCGCATTGGCTTTGGATAACGGGCTATCCATTGGTTTTCAAATTGTCGTGCGACATGAGCTGCTGTTTTGTTGTTCAGCAGCACCAGTTCAGGCCAGTTTGTGACCGTGTCAATGATTGATAGAGCTGTGAAGCTGTGTTTCTTTCCGTGTTCATCACGAACTTCCGACGGACCAATGAGGTCCACTGCGACCTCATACCAGGGAATGGCAAAGGCTTCTCGTGGAGGAACATGACCATGTCCTGCCCCCAGAACCTTGCACTTTTGACAAGCATCGCATGTGCGACACAATGCTGTCACGGCACCGTGAATACGGCTGTTTTTGTACACTTGAGTAATGGTGTCATATAGTCGTCTTGGTCCAGGATGGACAAGCGTCATGTGGTAAAAACGGACCACTGTGTCGACCATTGAGTCAGGAAGACATATGCGAAAGGTTTTTGTGTCTGGTGCTTCACGAAAGCACGTCACTTCAGCTCCACCAGGAGCGAATACATGGGAGATGTACTTCTTTGGATCGGCTTTGATTGCCTTTTGCAGACGTTCGTCGTCTTTTTGCTCACCTTTGACTACATCGAAGTCCAAGGCGAAAGGATTGTCATTGTTGACTATTGGAAAGTTAAGAAAACATTCCAACATGTCTGGATCTTCCAGTATGGAATATGCATCAGGCGTCCCTGATGACGGCATGCCATCTCTATTGTGTAAAAGATCAACGTTCTGGCTGTGAGAACGCGTTTGTGTAGGGTGTGTCACAGCGGACTCACTACTCTGCCCCTCCCGAAAGGGAAGCCTACTGAGGGCATCAGCTAAAGTATTATGTTCTCCCTTGATATAGTGGAATATAGGATTGAATTCCTCTATAAAGAGGCGCCATCGAAGCACTCTCTGTGAATTGAGATTAGCATACGTCAAATTCTTATGATCCGTGTGGATGTGGAGTTCACGGACTCCATACAACATGGAACGGTACTCGTTGAGGACCGATGTGATGCTGAGCAACTCCTTTTCCATGGTAGTGTAGTTGCGTTGTGCCGCATTGAGCTTCCTAGAGAAGTAGGCGACGGGATGATTGTCTTGAACAATGACAGCACCAAGCTGATAATCGCTTGCGTCTGTGTAGACGTGATAAGGTTTGTTGTGATTGGGGTATCGCACAAACACGTCCTTAGCCAATACTGCCTTGGCTTGATCAAAGGCCTTTTGATGTATGGGCTTCCATTCGAACTTTCGTGACTTGGAAGTCAACTCATACAATGGATTAAGGACGTGTGAACGTCGAGGAAACATCTCACGATAGAACGTAACTGCCCCAACAAAACTACGTAGTTCACGTATGTTAGTAGGGCGTTGCAATTTCAGGATTGCATCAATCTTTTTCTTCCAGGGCTTGAGACCTGTTGGCGTCAGCCAGAAACCTAACCATTCGGTTTCTTGATCACCCCATTCACACTTCAACGGGTTGATGGTGAAGTTGCTGTCCTGCAAACGTGTAAGCACGTTGTCGAGTGTGTGGAGATGGTCCTTCCATGTTTTGCTGAAACAGCCAACATCATCGATGTAGACTTCGACTTCTTTCAATCCTTGAAGGATGCTCTCCATGACGGACTGCGCGAAGTCAGGAGATTGTTTTACTCCCATAGGAACTCTGTTGTAACGATACAACCCAGCAGGTGTGTTGATGACACACAAGTCTTTGGCTTCATCGGAGAGCTCAAAGGTGTAGTATTGCATAGAAATATCAAGTTTTGTAAAGAATTTATAACCACTGCGTTTGCGCAGAATTTCATTTATCTTTGGAAGCAAATGACACTTCCTTTTAATCACTTGGTTGAGTGCTCGAAAGTCAGATATCCAGCGGATACGACCATCTTTCTTTGGTATGACAAAGGTTGGTGCCGCAAACTCGGCCCAGTCAATTTTCGAGAGAACTCCCAACTCCGTGAGTCGATCAAGTTCCTCTTGAAACACTTGCTTATGTGCGTCAGCCACGGAATATGGTCTTTGAAACTTGAGTTTCTCACGACCTCCTGGCAACACCTCTAAATGCATTTTACGTCCAGGATAGTAGCCTAGTTTGCCACTGAATAGTCGCTTGTACTTTTGAAGCACCTGACGAAGATCGTCTCGTTGTGATGGAGACAAATGACGTTGCTGAGCAGCAACACTATCAGTGTCTACGTGGTCATACTTGGATGACATGATCTGTTGGGAAGTTGTTTCGAAACAAGTATCCTCTAGGGGATCTATTTCTTCCGCGTGACAGAAGAAAGAATCATCAGGAGTGACCTGTTCTAAGAACTGTTTCTGTATAGTTCTGAAACGTTTGGTCGCTTGTGGAGCAACTTTATAAGGAACTTCCATGTAACTGTCCGGTGAATCAGCATTGGGAGTCCAACGTAATACCTGTCGGGAATTGAAATTGTCTATTCCCACGGACTCTAGAAAGTCTCGTCCCAAGATGACGTCAAAGGAATTGTCACCTTGGGCTAGATAGCATGCGAATGGTGTAACGATGTGCTTAGTAGGACTAAACTCAGGCATGACGATGTCCTGAACGATGACGCCTTCTGTGGCATCCGTTGTTGTGTGCAAGACTTGCACTTTACTGCGTTTGAACGCACGAACATTGCATCCACGAGGTAATGCTTGCCTGTACATGTAACTTCGTGTTGATCCAGGATCAAACAAAGCCCTTAGTGGTGTCTTTGAGTCGACACCGCCAATTTGCTTCATGACTACTATGGAACTAGGAGAAGCCATAGGATTTGTTGTGCGTTTTATTGAAACTGGTTCACTATCATTTTTATTGCTATTCACTATGTCCGATGTAGGACTAAACAGGTCTTCAGCCGCTTCCATTACTGCCGTCGTGACTCGAGCGTCATGTCGGGCAATGGAATCAGAATCGATTGCGAGTGGCGAAGGCCAATCTTGCGTACTCTGGTTGGTTCTCGTAGAGAGACCTTCAGGCAAGCGAGATATTCTCGTCATCGATGTTGCTGAAGCTGGGATCGAATCGAACGATTCCAGATCCTGTAAAGTGAAGGAATGCAAATGATGTGAGTCGAGTGTCGACCTGGTTGGAGATTGTCTCGAAAGCATTGATGCCTTACCGTCAGAGTTGTCCTGGAAGCCAGGAGCTAACTCTTCTTCGACGGCAAACTGTTCGTCATTCTTGTGATTGTGGTCTTTGCTATCTTTGTTGTCGGGCTTGCGACCACTGTTGCCCTTGCCGCTAGAACGGAACTTGCGAGCATTCGGGTTGTTGGCATTGGAAAAACAATCCTTCCATTGATGGTTGCCATTTGGATGAATGGGACATGGAGCGTCATCTGCGAGACGTCCTGTGGATTGCTGACGCGGCTTGCTGCCATTGCGTTCACTCTTGGAGTAGTGTTTGGCAGTACGTGGTTTTGCCTTTGGGACTTGAGTCTTTTGCTTCTGCTGATTGCGAATGGCTGCAGAATCAGCCTCCACTGCACGATCGTGCATGAAAGACGTAATGTCCCCCATTTCTTTGTTCTCGAGAACTTTTCCGTGTATCTTTTCGTATTCGACTACCCATGCCACGGCATAGGAGTCGAGGTAGTGACGGAGCAACGCGACTCCTTCTGGAATGGGATGTGTGCCACGCAACCATTGAGCTGCTTCGACAGCGACCAAGTAGTCGTCTTCCCATTCATGGCATTCCACTTTGCGTGGTTTGCGTTGGACCTTGAGGCCTTCAATCTGGTTGTAACGGGCCACTTCTGTGGTACGTGACGCCACAAACGTCCTGAGGCATTGCACGATGTCGAAATCGATTGCCATTCGTGCAGGTTGACCGTCTTGTGCCGGCACAGCAGCGATGCTTGCACGATATTTTGTCACTGCCTTGTCGTAAGCTGTGAGCGCCGTGTCACTGAGACACTTGCGGTACAATGAGGCCTGTTGTTCGGCACTGAGTGCCAATTCAGACACTGTTTTCGCGTAGCCCATCACGTGAGCTATCATGTCTGCTGGAGGTCCAGCACGTCGTAGACGCCAATGGGAAAAGTATCCAGACTGGGCTCCCATGGCATACTTGAAATTTTCAATCTTTCTTTCCTGTGGTTCTTGGACCACTGGATAGGGCATGAGATGCCTCTTCTGCAAACGTCTCTCCTCTTCAGGAGACAATGGTTTCGAAAACGAGTTGGTCATGGTGTTGGTTGGTTGATCGCGATTCGTAGAACGAGAGCGGTAGAAGCTTCTGATCAGAGTGCAGTAGCCCTCTTATTTTAAAATTGTGTCTATATGTTTTTACTTGTCTATGCAAGCCCTATTTTGTGCAAGAGCCAGGCCACCATTGGCCAGCCATGTATCTTCGGTCTGTTGTGTTGTCAACAGACCTTGATATCAACTAAATTGTGGAGGGAGGACAAAGAGCATGCCAGACAGGGTCAGACAGGCTCTCTAGCCAGCTCTGCAGACTCCTGTCCTGCAGAAATCGCTTAAAATACTACTCGGAGTAGAGCAGCTCCGTATGCCGTATGTCCATAAGTAGCTCTTTTGCTAAGTAAGTCTTTCTCCTTCTGCAGCGCTCCTGTCAAGTCCTACAAATCCAAGATGTTCTTACAAATTAAGTTAAATCCAAGGTGTTTTTGGTACTGAGAACTGAGAACAGCTCTGAGAACTGATCACAACAGAATTTATACTAGTACTAGCTAGTATCATAGCTCTGGCTAGCTAGTATCATACCTGGTAGCTAGCTAGTAGTAGAATGTGTAGATGTGGATTCTTGAAAACACAATCCAGGTCGAGTACGAGTATATAGTAAGTACTAGTACCTAGCTAGAAAACATAGAGTCCATGAGTATATTCATAGGATGATTTCTTCCTGATTTGAACTCGTTTGTTTTGCAAATACTGGTTGGCTGGGCTACATGTACCATCATTTTTTCCTGGAAGACACGGTCATTCTGCAATTTCAGCATTTTTCAGTCTTGCATGCTGAAATTTGCTGAATTTTTGATGATGGTTGCTGACTGATGCTGAAAAATGCTGACTGATGCTGAACTTTGCTGAACTTGCTGAATCCATTGCTGAAAAATGCTGACAGATGCTGAATCCAACCAAGGTTATTTACTAGTAATTGCTGAATTCTGCTGAATCTTGCTGAACTTGCTGAATCCATTGCTGAAAAATGCTGACTGATGCTGACTGATCCTGAAATTGCTGAAATTGCTGAATCTGATGCTGACAAATGCTGAATTTGCTGAATCCAGTTTGAGCATAAATAATCAACTACCGTGTCTTCCTGTCTCGTACCAACGACAACAACCCCCGCTGGGATCATACGGTAGCAATTGGCCAAACCGGCTGGTCCTGCTAGCTACAGGATGACTTCTTTTACCGCTGACAGGTGTCAAAATGGATTCTCGTTTTGGCCAAACCGAAATCAAAAGCGGTCATTTCTAACAGAAGTGGTCATTTTGCGAATCCTGCATTGAAAAGAATGGATCCAAACAAAGTAAAGATGAAGAAATAAAATTGAATTTTATCACCATGGCAACAGTGTTGACCAAATGGCTATTAGCTTTACCAATACATTGATCTGATCAATTCTTTGCTAGCAGT